GGTTGCGAAAGAAGTTTGTAGCCTTTACACCCCATAGTTTTCCTCAACGCCCAGTTGGTCAAAGCCTGGGCGAATAAAAGCATCCGTTTGGGGAAATTCTGTTTCCAGCGAACTTTGAAAACGCTGCAGCACTTGTAAAAGAGAAAGGCACTCGTCTTCCAGATTCTTGGCAATTGCCAATACCTGCCGAACGGCCCCGTGACAATGATCGGCCGCAATTTTCACCACCTTTGCACTGCCGTTCCAATCGTTTTGAACGGGATCAAAGTCTTCCATGGAATCATACTTTCCGCTTAAAGCGCGATACAATTTGGTTTGAATAAAGTATAAGTACCAGCCCAATACCTGTTCGCAATTATCGAGTATTAATACTCTGTTGTCCAGCAATAAGCTCAAGCCATCGGCATCCTGTTTCTCCTCTTCTTCAATAAGGGGCCCCAATTGATCCAAAAGCTTCTGAATGCCCTTGCTCAAGGTCATGCCTTGGGTGTACAGTGGGTGTGTTGTTGCGTCAAAACCAGTAATGGCCTCCTCTTCCGAAAGCTCTTCGGTACTTTCCTCCTCCACTATTTCGTCAACCTTATCCCAATCAATTTCTTCGAAAACATCGCCCTGTTCGCTGGCTTTTTCAATTTTGCGTTCCAGGTTTTTCAACCACTCTTCATCTCCAGCGTGCTTGTCGTTAATAGCGCAACGATGGCCCAAAGGGCAACGTTCGCACCAACGCGTGCAATAATTGTGAATACCAGCTATTCTTCGCATAATTAGGTCTTTTCTTTTCGCTTCACCTTGGGTTTGTCTTCAATTAAAATTACCAGAGGCTTTAAGGTAGTACTATGACTTAAAAATGTTTTTAAAATGCCAATGGCCGGTATGGCCAGAATAACACCCGCCAGACCCAAAATCTGCCCGCCAATAATCAGCGAAAGCAGTGCGGCCAAGGGGTTAATGGCTACCTGAGAACCCATTATTTTGGGCGTGATAAAATTGCCCTCTAAAAATTGTATAACGCTGTAAAGCGCAACCACCCCAAAGGCATACCAGGCTGAGTCTTTGGTAACCAACGCCACTAAAAATGGAATTAGGCCTCCGATTAAATTCCCCAGGTACGGGATAACCGTGAGAATTGCAGAGAAAATGCCAAAAAATATCGCATACTGTATGCCCAGCAAAAGCAATCCTACCGAATTTAATACGGCCAGAATTAAAATCACCACAAAAAGTCCGTTCACGTAATTTTGAATCACGTTCTTAACCTCGTCAATATGCGTTTGTGCAGCAGCAGCGCCCTTCCAAACATGATTAAAAAACCGCGTAAACCGCTCGCGGTAAAGCATAATTAAAAAAGTGTAAATGGGTATTTGAACCACTATGGTAAAGGCCGAGGAAGTGGTTTCAAACAAGCTTGTGAAAAAGGGAGCCGCATTGCTAAGGGCGTCTTTCCAAAAAGACTCTACGTTAAAGAGCTGCAGGCCCAGGCGAGATTCAATTTGCGATGCCGTGTTGGTTATCAACTCACCAAATCGATTGCTAATGCTTGGAATATCCTGCAACAGCAAACTAAATTGGTAGGCACTAAAAGTGAAAAACGCTGACAGCAGGAGCAGAAAGCTTAACATCACCAATAAAATGGCAAGCACGCGGTTTAAGCCAAAGTGCTCCATCTTTTTTAATAACGGATTCAGCACGATGGCAAAAAGAATACTGAAGGCCAGGGGTATAAAAAATGGCCGGGCTACAATAAGGGCAACAATGCTTATGGCCACAATAAAACTAAAGTGGCTGTAAATTTTTACTTTCTCTATAAAGTTATCTGTCATGGCTCTTGAAAGCCCTAAAATAAAAAAAGGGAAGCCAGCGCTTCCCTCTTTTGAGGTAAATATTTTTAGCCCAGCCTGTCTTCTTCCTGCTCTTGCACAATTTCGTTGGTGCGTTCAATGGCCTTTTTGAGCTTATAATCGCTCCAGGTGTTTTTATAAAACTTGTTAATGAAATCGTCAAGTTTTCTAATTACAAAAACGTTGTAAGCGCCCTGCAGTTGGCCCATTTTAGTAGGATTTAAAGTGCGAAGACTCAAGGAAAAGCTGCCGTCAAGATACTCCATGTAATGCCATATTCCACTGGGCATAAAAAGTGTTTCTTCCGGCTTGAGATCCGTTTGGTATCCTTGTGCGAGTTTTAAGGCGGGGTATTTTTCGTAATCTATATTTCTTAAATCAACCGCGCTATGGGTAGTGAAGGGCAGTTTATACAAGTATTTGGTTTGGCTCTGATCAAAAAGGGTAACGCGTTTTACGCCTCCAAACTGGGTGATAAAAACATTGGATAAATCAATGTCATAGTGCAGCCGCACATCGCTTCCGGCACAGCCAAAAAACATGTAGGGGTAGTCTTTTAAGTAGCCCTCCATTATGGGGGTAAAGTCAAAGTCATCGAGCAACTTTGGCTCAAGTTTAAACAAGTTAAAGAGAAAGATGCGCAAATCAGAGGGCACATCATTTTTCAGCATGTCAAGATACTCGCTGAATTTCACCTCTTTTACCGGCTTCATCTCTATGCGGGCCGGTTCATTGTCTTGCCAGGCCCCATAAAGCTTTACCTTGTGGTGTCCGGCCACTTCTTTCAAGTGATCGTAAGTCCACTTCTTAACCGCAGGCCAATCCTTGGCGTAGTTAAGCAACTTTACAGGCTTGCGGGTTTTAACGTATTCTTGGTAAAACTCTTCTGAACTGATGTCCTCAACAGTATCTATAGGACGAAGTTCCATATTGTACGATTTAGCTTAACAAAAGTATCAATTAAAAACCTTGCAGGTTTAGTAAATGAAGCAAACGTTTTTGGGCTCAGTAAAGAAATGCAGCGCTTCAAATCCACCTNNCAAATTATGCCACTTTGTAATTTTGCTGCCACCCGGTGCGCCCGGCTTAAGTTTTGTGTAAAAATTGTAGAGGCCAAACCGTATTCGGTTGAATTGGCCATCATTAATGCTTCTTCTTCTGTATCAAAGGGTGTAAGCGTAACCACCGGGCCAAAAATTTCTTCCTGGTTGGTGCGACATTGGTATGACAATCCTTCAATAACGGTGGGTTGAAAGTAATATCCATTGGCAAATTCACCTGTCAATTTTACTTCCTCTCCACCGTGAAGTACAGTACCCCCCTCTTCTTTGGCCAGCGCTATGTAGCCCTTAACCTTTTCAAGGTGTGCTTTTGAAACCAATGCCCCCATGCGCGTACTTTCATCGGTGGGCGGGCCAACCTTTAAGCCCTTTACCCTTTCCAAAAAGGCCTGTTTAAAATCGTTGTAAATGCTGCGCTCAACAAGTATGCGGCTGCCGCACAAACAAATTTGCCCTTGATTGGCAAATGCTGCGCGCACACTGATATTGACGGCTCGCTCAAAATCGGCATCCGCAAAAACCAAATTGGGATTTTTACCGCCCAATTCCAGCGAAAGCTTTTTAAACTTTGGCGCGGCAATACTAGCGATGCGCTCACCCGTTTTGGTGCCGCCCGTAAAGCTCAGCGCCTTAATGGTATTGTGTTTTATAATCGGCTCTCCTGCTCCGGGACCAGTACCGTGCACAATATTTAAAACACCCGCGGGCAAACCGGCTTCCTCGCAAATTTGCGACAGCAGATAGGCCGTCATGGGGGTTACCTCCGAAGGCTTGGCCACCACGCAGTTTCCGGCTGCCAAAGCCGGTGCAATTTTCCAGGTGAAGAGGTACAGCGGCAAATTCCAGGGCGATATGCAGCCCACCACTCCCAGCGCTTGCCGCAGCGTATAATTGAAGCCCCGTTCACCCATGTTGTGAAATGGATCTTCCTCGTGCAAAATGGCGGTTGCAAAGAAGGCAAAATTGTCGCGCGCACGAGGTATATCAACCGCCTGCGCCAACTTTAGGGGCTTGCCATTGTCCAGGCTCTCGGCCCGGGCCAGGTCAGATAAATTTTTATCAATAAGCTCTGATATTCTCAGCAAATATCGAGAGCGCTCAGCCGCACTTAAGCCGCTCCAATGGGGAAAGGCTTCGGCAGCAGTTTTCACCGCGCGATCAACATCGCCTTGACCGGAATCGGGAATGAGGCTGTAAACTTCTCCCCGCGAAGGGTCCATATTATCCAGGTATTTCTGAGTACCGGGCTCGAGAAATTCACCACCAATGTAATTTTGAATTTTCTTCATGCTTGCTTCAACATTTCTATCACTTTAAGCGAACGCCTGCTGTAGGTTTCGGTTTTTTTCGCCTCCTGCACATAAGCAATGTACTCCCTTTTATGGGAAGGGCTCATTGATTCCATTTTGGTCTTGGCCGATGGGTTTTCGGCCAAAGCCTTGATCAGCTCGGTCGGCATAACCAGCTTCATGCCTTTTACAGGTTAGGCGTGCGTCCTCCATCAACCGGCACGTTGATACCGCTGATGTAAGCCCCGGCCGGGGAGGCTAAAAAGGCGATGGCATTGGCCACCTCCTCGGGTTTTGCAAAGCGCTTTAGAGGCACCTGCTCCAACATAGCGGCAGCTACTTTCTCCTTATCCTGCCCGGTTTTTTGGGCCTTGTTGTCAATAATTGAACTCAGCCTACCGGTTTCGGTTGCGCCCGGCAAAACATTGTTTACCGTTATGCCAAATTCGCCCAATTCTCTCGAAAGTGTTTTAGACCAGTTGGCCACCGCACCGCGTACGGTGTTGCTTACCCCGAGGTTTGGCAATGGTGCCTTCACCGAAGTGGAAATAACATTTACTATTCGGCCGTAGTCCAACGCCTTCATGCCGGGCAACAGAAGTTTAACCAGCACCTGATTGGCCAATAAGTGGCGCTTAAATGCGGTAACATACTCTTCTACCGGTGCCGCATTTGCCGGCCCAGCGGGCGGTCCGCCCGTGTTGTTTACCAAGATGTTAAAGCTATTTCCCTTGCGTAAATAATCGCTTACCACGGCCTCCAGATTAACAATATCGTCAAAATCAGCCACCAAAAAATGGTGTTTCTGGTCTTGAGAGGTGCTGAGTTCTTTCATCACCTTTTCCAACTTCGTTTTATTGCGGGCCAAAAGTGTAATACTGGCGCCCATGCGCGCCAATTCCTGCGCGGCAGCTTTTCCTATACCGTCTGAACTGCCACAA